AGCCTTGGAAGAGAGCACTCAGGGGAGCACTGAGGACTGCACAAGGGATATGGGTGTGCCCGGTAGACACCAGCAGCTCTGCTTTGGAAAATGAAGCTGTTAGGGAGATCAGACCTCCAGCAGACATATGGGAATCACATTTATGAGTCTGGGCTCTAACAAAAAGGTCTAAGCTGAAGATGAAACTTAGGAATAATCAATATAGAGATGACATTCAAACATGAGAGAAAAATAAGGACCCGTGAGATGCAGAGCTAACAGAAAGACCAATAAACACAGGGCCATATGTGGAAAAGCTGTTAAAGAATGAGGGGCTGATGGCACCCTGAGTAAAAAGGAAAACTAGGACTGGACAGTATGATCACTGAATTGAATGACTCAACACTATGAACAGGATCGATTTTGATGGAATAATGGATTTGTACCTGTAATGCTAAAAATTAAGTTAAAAAATTATTCCAGTGCTGGAAAATGTCTCCAAACCAAAATCTATTGAGGTCCTGCTTTCTTTTTCTTTTCATGCTCATGACTGAACCCAAGGGTTTGCATGTGGTAGACAAGTGCTGTAGTATAACTTCAAGTTATACTCCCAACTTGAAGTCACAACATATTTTAAATGGTTATTAAATGCAAGTAGTGGTGTTCTTCACACAGTCTGAGATAAAACTGGAGAGAGTCCACAATGTTAAAGTTTACTGGGCAAATGGGACTAAATCAATGAAGGTTTACTGAAGATGAAGATTAGTACCAAAGAGGAAAAGATTAGTAAGGCAATAATTGAGACCGTGTGAGTGGATAAACACCTGGAAAGGATGCATGTAAAGGAACATAGAGCCTGAGGCTGGGCTCTGATTAATGGCTATGATCAAAGTGCAGGGGAAACAATAGATGGCAGAGGACAGGATAAAAGAGGGTCAGAGCCAGAGAAGAAATTACAACATAATGTCAGGGATAGGGATAATCAACAGTGTCGAAGGGACTGGAGAAATCGAGAGCATGGCAATAGAAAAAGTAAAGTTTTAAACGCTAACCATCGGTTTTTATGGCTCAGTTTTCTTCTTATATATTTAAAATAAGATGTTTTAAGGGAATATAAGCATCCTTATTTTTAAATTAGGAAAACATAAAAAGTTAAAGAAAAAAATGTTGACAGTAAAATATTACTTTTAACACCCAAAGACTAAAAGGAATTTTAAACTGAGTTATTTTTGTCCTTTGATTACAATAACTGAACAGGGTGCTGAAAGCACAACGCCCTACAGCTTACTGATGGTCCCTTTAATCCAAAACTTTCACAGTAATATGAATAGTGCATAAATACCACCTCCACTCTGTCACCCACAACCTTACTTCCCCACCTCCATAGACCCATACCTACTCAATCGGTTCTATGAAGCTTCAAGATACACTACTGGAAATCAGAAATCACCTCCTGAACTGATCTTACATGGCAAGCGTTCCCCACAGAGCAAATGCTTACAATTAATTATAAACTTCTCAAAATAGAGGTCCACAACTGGAATGCTGAGGCCTTTAACTACAGGAGAGGGAGTGGGCGCCACTGTAATCACTAAGGTCTGCTGACAATTACAAAACTCATTTTGGTTTGCCACAGAGACAAACAAAATTTCTATTCATTATAACTTTACTGGAATATGATGTCATAACACATAACCATACTGAAACAATCTGCTGATTTTTCTGACCAAAATATTAATTGCACTCTAAAGAGCCCTAGGGGCCTCTTCCTTTGGGCCATCAAACATGGCTTTATGTATGTGTATAGGCATGCATTTTGATATATATGTATATATAAATCATACCATATAAATATCAGAGGGAAAATTAAATATATTGCATTTTTTACATAAAAAGTAAAATATTCTAGTAGTAACAACAGGAAATACCAAAACCTGATGCCTGAGTTGTTTCATTCCAGTTTCCCTTCATCCTCTGGCTTAACAATGATTCTTAGTAATACAGCCCACATGGTTTGAATATCTTACACATCACATCTCCTCAGAGCACCATGACAATTAAGATTAGCCAGAGCACTCTGATTAATGGCATCCAGACTGCACTCTAGGAGAAATGATGAAGAAATCTTCATCAAACAGAATACTGTGTGCAGAGGTCCTTGACACTAAAGACTTATTTCCTTAGTAAAGAAACACTCAAGGCTTACTAACTTTCAAAGATAGTGTGTTCTACTTAATGATGGTCCTTCTCCTGTTTGTATTTTTTCAAACAGTAAGCTCAATTTTGATAATGAACATTGAACATATGGTGTATTTCTACAAATGAGAATATATGAAACTAAGTAGCTAGATGTCTGTTTTAAAGCTTAGGTTCCCATCCTGTTACTACTGTTGAGAGATGAACCATGAAAAAACTCTGTGCAATGATTAAGTGGGCTTCACCCACCCACTGCCCCCACAGTATGGCTCTGCTTCACCAGAACCATTCTCTGTCCTGATTAAAATCTACACTCAAACCCTATCTTCCGAGTCAGTCTCTGCAGCAGAGGTCCCTGGGTTGCCTTGATGACTCTGCCCACTAACTGTCTCAGAGTCAATGCTCTAGGCTGTCCTTGCCCAGGACTGTCTTAGCCAACAGGTAACTGCATCAAAGGAGGGGCTCTAACCACTCCTTACTGCCCTCTGTGGGTCTTATTTCCTACATCCTGCATATCTATTTATCCTTACGGTAGCCCGGCATGACAGGAAAGGTCCCGAAGTTCATTGTGAGAGCTGACAACTTTCCCCAATAGAGTTGGTGTGAGTCACATTCAAGTCTGTCTAACTTCAGAGGTTCAAGAAAATCTTGAAGAATTCCCTAAGGCCAACAAGTAAAGGTGCATGCCACCACACCTGAAGACATAGTTCATTCCCTGGAACCTGAAGGCTGAAAGGAAGAAAACCTTTGACTTCACATGTGTTGTGACATGAGCTCCTATCTCGCTCGCGCAAACGCGCACGCACACACACACACACACACACACACACACACACGTAGACACATGCAGACATGAGCATGCACCCACATACACATGCACACACACAATAAACAAACACATAAATAAATAGAGTGCCTAAAACTCTGCCTTATTATCTCCTAGCTCTGGCCATTTTTGTTTATTCAACCATCTACTTAGTGGCCAGAGAAGCTAATGCAAGGGTCCTACATGAGCGGGTACTAGAAGATGCAGGCATGTCACCTCATGACTGCTGAAACAAACAGCACTCCAAGTGACTTCTTGAGCTTCCACAGCATGACGTTCAAATAGACAATCAAACGGTGCAATGTGAAAATGATGACAGTCAGAGCCACACTGCTAAATAGCCTAGACTGTACAAAAGCCATGCGCAAGGCTTCTTTTCCATGCTTCATTATTTCCTACTTGGTATGTATGTGGGGAGGGGGGCAAGGAGTAAACATAAAACACTGTAAACTTAAAAGCTTCCCTTTCCTTAGACACTCAAGAAGTCTTCAGACATTGAGACCATACAACAATCAAGGAAGAACACAGGGCTCCTTCAAATTAATGTTTTACATCCTAATACAGTTTTTAAGCAAAGGAAAACTCCCTTCACATGTGTTATTATGGCAGTCTTCTATACTATACAATCTTGCTGTCCTCCCTAAAGTGACTTCACTCAAAGCCTTCTTTCTCAACTCCTTTATGTTATCTTTCTAAACAACAAAACCCCATCTGTCCTCCCTACCCTCCGGCGCTTGCTTTATTTTTCAGCATCTCACGTTCCTAGATATCACTTTTACAAGGTGAGAAAGATACATTCCAAACAACATTAGGACATAAAAAATTGAAAAATAATTACCTCATTTCATTTGACAGTGCTACTCATAAATTTCAATACAGCTTAGACATTCCTATCGCCTCTCCAGGTTTATATCCAAAGCACATGAACATGCTATCTTCTGATCTAATGGGGAAGAGGCTGGGGTTCTGTTTTTTTATAATTCAGACTGAAAACAGAATGTCACTTAAGCTTTCTATCTCAGTTTACTACTTATCTGTAAAATATTTGCAGAACCTATGATTAAGGAATTCTAAAGGTCAAGACTTAGAATTCAAATGACATTTGATTATTTTTACTCTTTGTACACTTTTGGCAGCTCTAACCCAAATTCTTTCCCTTGCAACAGAAAAATAACAAGTTTTATCATAAGGCTATAAAGTGGTCTTGGCACATTTTCAACCTTGTACATATATAAAATGCCAAGATAGTTCTTTCTTCACATCTATAAAATCTGAAAATAATCTTTTATGAGATCTGAGTTTTAATTTTTAAGGAATTCAAATATTAGAACTGATTTGAAAAGATTCACAGGCAAGTTTAAAAGGAGTTACAGGAGTGGTGTTTAGTGATATTTTGTTTATGATCTAACAAATAAAGCTTGCCTGGAGATCAGAGTGCAAAGCTAGCCACACTAGTTAGCAACAGAGGAAGGGCAGTGGTGTACACACTTTCAATACCAACAGCCACCTTTGTTAGTCATAGAGGCTAGGCAGTAGGGGCACACACTTTTTTAAATCTCAGCACAGAGGCAGATGGAGCTCTGTCAGTTCAAGGCCACCCTGGACTACAGGAAATTGATCCAGTCTAAAAGAGAAACAGAGCTCACACAAAGGGGATCCCAGCACTTGGGGTGATACACCCAGTACTAGGTTAATTCCAGAACTCTGTGGGTAGAGACAAGAGTGATATTTCTGGGAGGAGAGAGGAATTTAAGGTGGGAGGAGACAAGAGAGAGATGCAGCCTGAGGAACAGTACAATCTGAGGAGCAGTCTAAGCAGTCTGAGAACAAGATCACCCCTTTGGTGTGAGCAACTCTCTAGCAGCTGGCTGCTTTGCTTCTCTGATCTTTAGCTTGAACCCCAATACCTGACTCTGAGTTTTTTATTATTATGACCAATTAGAATTTGTGCTACAAGTGTCAGAACACTGTCCATGTTCTGTTTGTAGAACTCCCCTAATAATGCCTTAAGTTCCTAGGAGGAAATATACAAAGGACACAAAAGAAATTCTGGGATAGGGTGTCTCAAAGTGATGAGTTAAAAGGCATGGCCACAATCACAGTTTCATGTCTTTAGCCACACTGAAATTAAATGGAAATGTTCAGCAGAATCAACTCAACAAAGGTCAACAGAAGGGCAAGACTTTTGAATCCAAGAGCAAGAAGACAGCAGCTAACCTGTGTCACTGAAATGCCTCCACACTGACGACTGTGCAGGGTAAAGGATGCTCTCAGAGGCTTGCTGCTGGGAACATACTGCTGGCAACCTCACCAAATATTCACACCCACTATTCTTGCCCCTTCCCTAAACTTTGTCTACATTAATCATCATGATCACAGCATTAACACAATAATGGCAAAAGGAGACACTACAGTTTAGATCATCCACACCCCCACAAACAATCTCTTTAGAGATGAGGAGGACAGAAACAGAGATGGTAACTAGCCTCCCCAAGACCACTCACTCAATGTGAGCTGGTATCTGTGCCAAGCTGGTCTCACCGGGAGCTTTGTCCAACCCCTGAATTGTGCTGCCTCTGAACTAACAAGCATGAGCTGTAAACTTTGAAGTCATGCTACATGCGAATATTAGGACCACCCAGGTCTAGCTAGACCCAGGAGATCTGACAGATGCAGAACTCTCTCTGAGCTACTGTCACATGAAAGACACCAGTTACCAAAGGGAGCACTGGGGACACTCTAAGTTGAAAGTTAACAGACATTCCCCCACCTCCCAGTTTCTTCCTCATCTCTCTTAGTCCACCTCTCTGAAATCTGAGCTGATAACTTGTAACGTGTCCCATCTCCACAGTTCAGTTGCACTGGCTTCTGTCTCCAAGAGAAGATGAGGGGCAGTGAGCAGAGGGCGTTCCTGACTTGCTCCTTACTAATTGGCACAGCTGTTGTATCTCCAGGAAGTCCACCCCTGGCTACTGGACTAGATGAAAAGGGCAGGGGGAGGAAGAGAGAGAAAGCAAGAACTGGAACAAATGCACATCTGTAGGGTGCAATATCAAGAACATACTCAATTATCTGTAGAGTCAAGAACAGAACTTAAGCACCCCACTGTGTTTTCAGCCTCTGTGTGGACAGCACTGACTTGATATCTCACCTTGCAGTTGAGGAAGCTTTACTTGCCCCACTTTCTAGTAGCAAACATTACATCCCTAGAAGAAGTCAAAGCATTGTGAGTTCTGTTTACCAACACTGTAGTTAGGCCTTTCCACTCATACCCTTGTTTTCTACACGAGCACTGCAGAGTCAGCTGCCAAGGTTATTTTCAGTGCCTTAAAACAATCTGCTCCTTGTTTTAGGAAGACTCAGTAAAACTTCTCAGGGATGCCATCTAGGCCAACTGCTTTTCTATGGGATTGTGGGTGACACTGAGTGCCTACTTGTCCAACTAGCTATTCTTGAAATTTCACAGAAATCCAAATCTTTATCTTCTTCCAAGGTAGATCTGGTAAATTTCCATCTCCCAACAAAAGCACACTGTTCGTCCAGGTTCTAAGATAATTTTTACCATGAGTTAATGTATCCTAAGGTTCTTGAGGACTTTTTTACTTCTTCACAGCTGGTGTCCACATCCCACCCATATTTTGCCTATCTGTGCTTAAAATCCATATTTGCTAACCTTGCTAGATTACCTATTTATACATTCTAATAGGTCTTAGTAAAAACAAAATATTGTATTTCAAGTATCTTTCCTATCTTTTTTTTATGTAGCCATCTTACATTTCCACACTTACTTTCCTTTCTTGTTATTCCTTTTCTACGTTCATGTGTTGGGTAATCAATTTATTTTCATGGTATCATTTCCAACATAAGTGTAAGACTAATAAGGAACTTGTCTTCCCATATGCCTTTTATTGTTCAAACTATGGTGTGCTCAAGAGGAAACACACTACAGTGTTCTCTAACTGCCTGGCAATGGAAGTCCTTGTGAAGAGTCATCAGTGTGTCTACGAAACACCCTGGGAAAACCTTGGGTAAGCACCAGTATCTTTTATGAGTCACTTGTTTAATCTATTAAAGCTCTTAGTTTGAATATAATAAAAATTACTCCACAGTTTAAGAAATGTAATTGAGCCGGGTGTTGGTGGTGCACGCCTTTAATCCTAGCACTTGGGAGGCAGAGGCAGGCGGATCTCTGTGAGTTTGAAGCCAGCCTGGTCTACAGAGCGAGTTCCAGGACAGACTCTTAAGCAATACAGAGAAACCAAAAGAAAAAAAAAAGGAAAGAAATGTAATTGAAGAATGTTTCTCAAATACCTTTTGTAAAATGGAAAACAAATACTGGTAGAGAACAGATTTTGAGATTTAGAGTGAGATGAACTGGACCCATCTATTACATAGATGCCATGGGGAAAGAAGCCTTACATCAAGACTGATTAGGAGTAAGACTGCTTGAGTCAATTTTCCCAACTTTATGCAAGTGACAATCTAGGTAGAAATTACTTCATTTTCTGTCATAGCATAGCATAGTTGCACATTTACTTAGGGACAGCTTTTCAAATAAATAAATAAATGTTCATATACTGTGTACTATAAAATCTTTTGTAAAATGTTTTAAAGAAATACAATATTAAGTTTTTACCATATATTTTCTATATATGACCTGCTTTAAAAAAATCTACCAGATTCCTATAGTAAGAAATATACTAAGACATAGCTTGTGAATTACATGAATTCTTCCACAATTCAATTCCATCTGTGCTTAACGCTTCTCTGAAAATTTTCCTTGTGCATAATATAGAAAATCTAAGTCCTTTGCAGTAACAAAACAACTATGAAACTATTTCTAGAAAATAGTTGAAATATGTCTGTTTCCCTACAATGTTAAGCCCAGAAATATTTGTTTTGAGTTTTAGAATTTTATATAGCAGGGAAGAATAAATTATTAAAAATATATATTTAATGGGGTTTTATCTTTTCATGGATAAAAGCCTCAGTGATGGCTAGGAAAGCAGTCAAATGAACAGGAGGAAAGTGGAGTGCCGCCTCTAAAGCTTCCATGAGCTCCAGAAACTGTTTTGTTACAATGTCTGACCCAGACATCTCTTCTGGTGCTTTTGCTGATCAAAATTAACTATCAGCTTTGGATGTATGCCCATGGCAAATACTCCCAAAAGAAACACAGAGACATTACATCAGCTGTGTTCCAGCAGGATCAATGTGCTTGGATGTCGAGCCGAATGGTAATTAGACTTACTGCACACTTGTAGTATTTTGTCTCTTTCATTGAAATCTAAGTGAATCTGATTGTACATCTGCATATAGTTTAATGATAACAATAACTTGTAAGTTAATAGCTATTCACCGGGATATAAAAAAAAAACTTACTTGGCATTTTCCCAGCTAATTGTTTTTACAGCTTGAATTCACTTTATGCATTAGCTGCATTCATAAAAAAGTTAACATGAAGCAAATATTTTCATACTAAATTCCATTTTCCCACTGTTGCCCAATATTTAATCTTGAGCTATATTTCTGTAAGAAAATGTTGGCTCTAACACATTATAAAATTATAATTAAAATGTATATATATATATGCCCAGGGATAGGTATACTTAATCAATTATTTTATAAAACACATTTTATCTTCTCTTCTGCAATAAAATCAGCCTAATGGATAGTTATTTTGTTTCATATTCTCACAATCATTAGAAGTAAATGTAGGCTTTAAATAGCAACTGTAGGGCTTTTAAAATGGATTTATAGAGCTAGGCCTGGCGGTGCACACCTTTAATCGCAGCACTGAAGAGGCAGGGGAGGGGGACATCTGTGAGTTGAGGCCAGCCAAGTATACATATGAAACTCTTTCTCAAAATCCAAACAGAAAAACTAAATATGGAAGTAAAATTACAGTTTATTAGCTGGAATTGCATCCCAGAGATTGGCTGTCAGATTTCAGCAATACAAGGATTGTCATATCAATGACAGTAATCACCCTCAGAAGTTCCAAATCTCTTCTGCTGTTGGTAATATATTTTAGGGCTTTCACTCCCATCCATACTAGTTTACCATAGAGTCCACACATTTTCTGATTCAAGGATTTGTTTCCAAACAAATGCAAAGAAGATCTGTACAGCTACTTGAATCGTATGTACAAAAATGTAAAAAGAAACTTCTGCTACAACAGATGAAGAACTGGAACCTTACAAAACTCCTATATACTCCTATTTTTTTAATTAGTGACCTGAGTTAATGTTCTAAATTTATAATTTGCAAGCATCGTGAATTAAAATGTTTTCTACATAAATCCTCTGCAGAATATCACAGGACTAAGGTCATCTGTGCTCCCCTTGTCCTATATCACACAGACAATCAAGTGTTTCTACCATAACAAACACTAAGCTTAACAATGTCAACTCCTCCTTATTTTTGTCATGTGTCCTGAAGCAAAGCACAGCACCAAGTTAGTGAAAGACCACTAGAAAAGATGCATGTTAGCATCCAGTCTGGCAGGAGAACTTCCTCACAGGAAGGGGCTGGAAGAATACTTAGAGCCTTGAAAGGTTAATGATTTATGCCTCTGATTACTATGACTTGTTCTTACTCACAATAGGGGTACGACTGAATGTGTCACATTCTGATCTACACACAAAACAGCTTTTTAGGATATTCTGAACAAGTCCCTCAAGATCTCTTAATATTCCCAGAGGGATGTTTACATGAGTTGAAAAGCACATGAGAGGTTGGAGAGTCTCTTCAGAGCTTTACCAGCAGGTGACACATGGCACCAGAACACCAAAGCCTCCGGAAGTCACAACTGCTCTCAATCCGTCCTTCTTGGCAACTAGCCCAATAGCCTTCTTAGATACACCGCAATGTTTCTATGATGCTTCAGCCCTTCCAGTGCTTTCTGTTATTAGCCACTGGCTCCAAGAAGAACCAAGGGACCATGGCACTAGCACCACACTATCTGCTTAAAGAAATCCAGGGAAGAATTCAATCCTATAGGCGAGAACTCCAGCCTTCCATTAGACACACGGGACAACAATTGTGTCTGGTGGATCTGAGGAGCAGGACGTGGAGAGGGTGATTGAATGGAGTCAGTGAAGTGACAAATGCTGTTAATGAAGTCAGATGTATGACAAGAGTCAGACATGTAGAGCCGCGAGTCTGTCCTCTGAGTGCCTCCAGCACTGCTCACACAAGGAAACCAGTTTCAGACCTCTGCAGGAAATAAGGGTCAGTCAACAGTGTCGGAACACTTCAAAACAGCAGGCAGTAGGCAGAAATGCACAGAAAAACACAGACTGTGCCATTTCAAAAAGTAGACGCCACCAAATACACCTCCAGACATTGTTAATGAAAGCAACTGAAAAGTTTTAAATTCTCTTTTCCATGTCATAAACAGCATTTATTTACATAGGCTCTTCAGTGACCTGTCAATCACAGTTAGCAGTCTATCAATTAGTTTCTCTTTGAAGAGATGTATCTTGAACAGAGAACATGAGAATGTCAATAAATCATAAGGAAATAAAGAGGTAAGCAAGTCAATGTTTTTGGTAGCTGAAGCCAAGAAAAAGCCTGGGAAATTAATAGGTAATACGCTCCCAGGAAACTCAAACTGAGAAAAAGCAGCAAGCTTTGATGAGAATAATACCTAAGATGATTAAATATACAGCCCCAGCATTACTGCCTAAGAACCTAAATCTCACCTGAAATAAAGAGAAAAGCTGAATGCTGAACCTGCCTATTCCCATTGCAGCAAAAGAAGAAGAGAAAAACATGCAAGAAAGAGGACAAAGGGAGTTGACAGTGGCAGGCATGCTGGTAAGATCAGTTCTAGACAGCTTTAGAAATTCAGAATAACAGACACCAACATGACGGACTGATTTGGTCTTAGTCAGGATTAGAAGGAAAAATAATTTACTTTTGTTCTAAAGTGGACTGTGTGAACAACTAACAAGTCCAATACTACCAAAATGTCTGTGCTGATTTAGAGAAAGTCTTCCATGTGCTCTTAAAAAAACAGGATACCAGCAAAACTAAAGTCATTCAAATCCAGGGAGTATAAGGTTCCTTAAGTATATGAGAAAGCAATGGAGAGTTCTGGAAACCTGAGATGTATATGGGAGTGCAAAATGAGTTGTAAACAAATGCTACTTGTTGTTTTTGTTACTATCCTTTTTAAAAATCACTCAAGAGAACAAAAGAAAGGTTTGTAATTAATCTTATTTACAGTAGAAAAGCTTCTTGTGAGCCCTTGTGAGAAACCTGTAGTCACAGGCTGTGAGTCAGGACCCTGAGAAAATATACCCTCCAGGACAGTGATCAACACTGACAGCAGCGCAGCCGCGGTGATCTCTCAGGAAGCCCAATCCCCCCAGTTATGCGCAAGGAATTCCGGCCAGAAAGCAGACACTTCAGAGCTGATGAACTCTGATAGTGTCAAGTGGATAAAGGGCTACACTCCTAATCTTATTTGTCACTGCTTTCTTGTTTTGTCAAAAGGCAATGCTAGTCAAATGAAATCACCATATCCTTTTACTTCTCAAATTCAAGCAGGCCAGGACACGCCAGCAAATACTGGAAAACCTTTTCTGACACCATGTAACGAGAGTAAATGACGCGCATGCTATTCCAAGGGTGACACTCTAGGAAAGATGCAAGGAGAGTGGCCTCTGCTCACAAAAGGAAAGCGGGGAGTCGCAGTGTCTGGCATCTAGCATGACGTCTAGCACTTAGAAGAAGTCCAATAAATAGCTAAGTGAGGGAGCAACAGCTAACACGAAATGGTTTACTGGATGCCAGCACTGGACATTCAGTAACTCATTTAATATTTCCAACGGCCCTCAGCAGTAAATGCTATTAACACTTCTGTTTTCAATCGCAGAAACTAAAACAGACTCCGGATGTCTTGGCATAATTGGAGCTAGCTTTCAAATGCAGGCTAATCATACAACACACACCACTGTCCTGCTCTTGAGATGAGAGGATGGTTGACGGCGAGAGTGGAAAGCAGACTCACAACAGCCATGCCCACAGTTTGGAGAATGGTTGACTCCAAGTGAGAGAAGCATGTGGGGCCTTGTAGAGGAGGACGGGAACACACCCTGAGTGTGACCTCTGAACCTGCTTTCAACCCTGAGACATATGAGAAGACTTAAAAACAGCGGCTGACAAGGAAGGGGAAGGGGCCCAGTACTCAATGCTGAACCACTGGCAACGGATGGATTCTGGGATACGGGGAATCACTGTCGTAAGTGGAGTACTCACTGTTGAGCCTACCAGGCCCCAACAGACAGCTCCAAACTCAAAGTTACACAGACCGCCCTGATTAAATTCAGCAGGTTACAAACCAAAACAATTAGATATGAATGTGAGGAAGATTTGTAGAGAAAAGGGGAAATAGGCAGGAGTAGTGGGGAATGGGGAAAGGTGGGAGATGAGAGTGGTAAATATGCATTACATAATAAGCGAAATTGTTAAAAATATAAACAAACAAGCAAATAAATAAACCTACAGTCTGGGGCTGGGGGGATGGATCAGACATCAAAGGCCTTAAACTGTGTCTCCAAACCCACATAAAATTTTTTAAAATTTTTTTAAAGCTGCCAGGTAGTGGTGGTGTACACCTTTCATCCCAGCACTTGGGAGGCAGAGACAGATGGATCTCTGAGTTTGTGGCCAGCCTGGTCTACACAGTGAGTTCCAGGACAGCCAGAGCTACATATAAAGACCCAGTCTCAAACAAACACAAAAGCAAAGGTGCTGGCACATGCTTATAACCCCATCCTATTTGGCAAGCTCCAGGCCAGTGAGGGACTGACTCTGTCTCAAAAAAAGAAAAGGGAGATGATGACATGATGTCTGAGGAACAACACACAATGGTGTCCTCTGGCTTCCAAGTGCATGTGTACGTACACACACACACACACACACACACACACACACACACACACGATTGTAAATCAGTAAGGAAGTTATTAAATAAGAAAAAGTTTAAATTCAGTTTACCAAGAAGGAAATACAAATGACTTTACATGTATAAACTGTTCATAATTAAAGAAATATACTGCAAATCAAAATGCCAAAAGGTATCGTTTTCATCTAAGTTGCTGAAAAACTTCAGGCATTCAAAGAGCTTCACCCCCAGTCTAGAGTAACTTGGTGACTTGAAACCACTCTTTTAGAAATCAACATGTTCCTCTCAGATTTCAGTCAGAGCACGTCAAGGTTTTGTTGGAAACCTGCAGTGAGTCTGAACTGTATGTGTAACTCAAGAGGACAAGCTAGAATTCTTCAGTGACCGAAGCCTTACGTAAACTTAACTTCCAGTCACATATCTGACCCCACTTACTCCACTCCAGGACGCCGCCCCCTCCTGCTGCTTCACAGGTTCATCGGCCTGCATCACTGCTTCTCTCTAAGCTCCACCTTCTTCTTTGTTCAAACCACACCTTCTCAGTAAGAGCACTCTATGAAAGTTATAACACCATTCCTTACTATACTCTATTTTTCCACCATCGCTTTCTAATCTACTATGAAGTGCACCTATATTTTTTAATTGCTGTCTAGCATGTAAGCTTCACCTGTGCTAAATGAATGTACTACACACACACACACACACACACACACACACACACACACACACACACACCATTGTTACAGCAAACATGAAACAACTGAACGTCCAAAAATACAAGTTGGGTTAAATAAATTATGGAGTAACCACACAGTGGAATACTAAACAGTTCTTAAGTAAATGAAGCAGAAATTGTTTCTAGTCTGACCAACTTAAGCTCTGACTGGAAAAACAAACAAACAAACAAACCTTCTACAGGACACTATAAACTCTGAATAGAATACAAAACACAAACTTGTTTCAAGTCTCTAAAGAGTGAAAAAATAGTCTGGGGTCAGAGTTAACATCTTAAAAACTGGTAAGACATGAGAATCTGGGAAACAGGGAGAACCCTAAGAAAGATATTCATGGACACCCACAGCTAAACAGTGAACTGAACTCCTGGAAACTAGTTGCAGAGAGGGAGGAGTGGTAAGCAAAGGGGTCAAGACCGGGCTGGTGAAACCCACAGAAACATCTGACCTGAAGAAGGGGGAGCTCATGAACCCCTGACTGATAGCTGAGAGGTCAGCAAGGGACTGATCCAGACCCCCTGAACGTGGGTGTCAGTGAGGAGGTCTCGGTATTCTTTGGGGCCTTAGGCAATAGAGCAGTATTTATCCCTGGCATCCAAATGGACTTTGGGAGCCCATTCCACATGGAGGGAGGAGAGGGCCTAGGCCCTGCCCAGGATGAAATGACAGACTTTGGAGATCCCCCAGGGAGGGCCTTACCCTCCCTGGAGAGTGGAGTGGGGATCGGGTGGGAGGTAAGGGGGTCGGGGGAGCGGGGGAGGAGGGGAGGGAGAAGAAGCTGGAATTGACATGTGAAGCAAGCTTGTTTCTAATTTAAATTTTAAAAAAGACATTATGGGGGGAGGGGAATCCTAGATGAGACCCAGACAGAGAGCCCCACATTCTATGCACAAAACTCACCCAAGCGCTAGCTGACACATGAGCTACACATGCATGGAGTAGATGTAGCTGAGACACTGAAATGTGGCTATTGTCTGGGGCAGAAGAAAACAAGCCTTGTTTGTAGGCTGTGGACAATGGAACCGGCTGCTCAAACGCTTTTTGAAAAGTCCTTCACAAGTCTGAGTTTTGGAGCACTTCCTATTTCCAGCTCTGGGGTTGTGGATGCTACACCTCTACCAGCTGCTTCTGTCTTAAGAGAGAGTGGCTGTGCTGCTTGGAACAAGAAGCACTTGAAGGCTGGAGAGATGGCTCAGCAGGTAAAGAACCTGAAGCCAAGCCCGAGACCTGAGCTCAACCCCTGGGACACATGTGATGGACAGAGAGAACCAGCTCTCCCAGTTTGTCCTCTGACCTACACACACACAAAATGCCCACAAAATAAATGAAAAAACAAACAAACGTATTTTTTAAAGGAAAAGAAATACTTGGGATTTTAAAGCATGTTTTCTAGTATACTAACAACTTAGGTCATTTGAAATAGTCTTCTGAAAAAGACTTAGTCCACCAGAGTAACTTCAACTGAACTGACATTTTAGGTAGAATTGTACAATGAAGTTCTAGATTTCATGTGACATTTTTGGAATGTCACCATCTCAGTTTACTTATTTTTAGAAAAAGCTTCTCTGGGGGAAGAAAACTGGCTCAGAGGGTCAGTACACTAACACCAAGCTCCAGGGCCTGAGAGCTCAGTCCCCAAGAACTGCATGGTGAAAGGAGAGAGCCAACTCCTGTGAGTTGTCCCCTGACCTCTACATGTGTGCTGTGGTGTCTGCACTCACACTTTTACAAATAAATAAATCTAATTTCAAAAGTAAACTGACATTGCTGACCAGCCTGAAGGACCAGCTCGTTATCTGTTACAAATTCATCAAATAACCCTAAGTCAGACCATTCACTAAGATCAACCAGGGGTCACCAAACTTCCTGAGAAGACCCACAGAGCAAATACTTTCAGCTCTGCAAGCCAATGCCTAGGGTATACCTCCTCAGCCCTGCTGTAGAGCTGAAGATGCCAAAGAGTGTGGCTACGGACCAAGACTTCTGATGAATGGGAACTGCCATCTATCTTTCATATAACTTCGACATACCACAAAATATGACTTTATTTTTTTATTTTACAATGTCAAACTTAAATCATGGGGTGATAGGGAGATGGGCAGTTCTTGGTTTGTCTTAGGAGCAGTTTGCCAACCCCCAGGTTAGAAATGTGGTTACTGGAAGCCCTTGCCAAAGACTTTTTTTTTTTTTTTGGTTTTTTGAGAGAAGATTTCTCTGTGTAGCTTTGGAGCCTATGCTGGCACTCGCTCTGTAGACCAGGCTGGCCTCAAACTCACAGAGAACCACCTGCCTCTGCCTCCCAACTGCTGGGATTAAAGGCATGTGCCATCTATGCCTAGCCTTGCCAAGGACTCTTAGCAACAGAATTTAAATGACTATGCCACCATTTACTATATATTAAACTGTAAAACACCATCACCTGCCAAAATAATAACTGAACCAATGCTATGAAAGCTAAAATAGTGTAACCTTAAAATTTAAAAAAATGGGAGGCAATAGACAGAAAATTGTTATTTTATTATACATTTAGGCATCATAAATTTCACACAGAACTAAACTCACTCTATATAATTTTGCTTATTGAAGTTATTAGTTACTTTTATGCCAAACTTGGAACTCCATTAACCTTCAGTGTGATTCAGTATTAAAATATGGCCACAAGAATCCTGGCATTTTCGTAGTTAATCATGTTCCATATGGTAATACCAAACATCAAGACTGCCAAAGGACAGAGTCAAGAAAACTGTATTCTACTTCTGACTTACCTTCATTAATTGTAGTTTATCTTTTCTGATGTTTTAACAAAATTATTATGAAAAGATCTTGCAAATAAAAAATGCTACATACCAAAATAAACCAGACCCAAAGTCTATACATCTCAGTGAACTTCTATGTGGTCAGAATAGCCATTCTGAATCTTACCTTTAAGCAGATGTTGAGTAAATCACAGAAGCCTCCATTTCCTCAAGGCTGCTCTACCATCACCTATGTCACTAACATGACACAATACAATCCGTGACCTACTAAGTCTGAGAAACGCTATACATTATATGTATCTCCAGACTCATATGCATGCAAATTTGAGTTCTGAGACATCCTGCAGCAAGAAACCTATTGGTTTACTTTAATACTATTCAAAATTACACAATTACTTTCTTTTGGTGCAAAGCTTAGTAATATTCAAGAAAAGCTCAAAGTCTTTAAAACACACTTTGAAATTTCTTTTAATCTCTAATACAGGTAAGATAATCATCTCTTTGGGAATATAGGGAAATTCTAATAAACTTAGACAAACACTCTTCTGGGGAGACATAGTTAGGCTTTATTCTTCCCATTTCGCTGCTATTCTCTCACCGAAGTTTCATAGTTGATCCAGACATACCCACAGTCACACTTCTATTGCTTCTTTATGCAAATGTGGCCATCTCTTCCGACATAAACATTCATTTCTCCTACCCCTCCCTGAATCCTTCAGGGTACTCCTGAAGGATCGAGCCACATCCTCCCCTCTCCAGCAATCTTCTCAAATTCCTGTTTCAGTTTGTTTATCTACTTTATACTATGCAGTATAGGAGGGTAGGGGACACGATGTCAGGGTGGGATGCAGGGGAATGCAATTTGAAAGAGGTTATCATGAAGAGGAAGACTGAAGTAGGTCACACAAGAATACAAGTATCTCTAACAATGGCATTTTGTTGACCTGGGGGGAGGGATGCCCTAAGGTAGCTAGAGTGAAGAAACTTTGGAAAGGTTATGAGGAGGTTCTATAGAGAGCACAGCGGCTACACCCTTGACCCAAGAACTGCAGTGAAGGAGGAAGGGTATACCAGCATAGCCAGCCAGATCCAGCACTGGTAATCAGTGGGGTGACAGACCACCAGACATCTGCTGAAGTGAAATGGTAGGTCAGAGACATGTGTACATGCAGCCAATTCCCATCCTTAGCTCTACTCTCTATCACTATCGGGGTATAGTCTCCTATAACAAACACATACTTGATGATTCCTCTTTGATGT